CTTGCATCTCTAAGCATGAATATTCATTTTAACTTTCTCTCCAGATGGGCAATGCACATAAAGGCAAATCTGACAGTACAGGGAGGATTCCAGAGGCAGGGATCATGGTTCTGCATGTATGATCAACTTTGATAAGGTCCATGGTACACTTATAGGAAAACCTGTTCCATTTCATCTGAAAACCATTTGGGGGGAGGGGGAGCAAAAGCTCTTCCATATGGTGAAAAATGATGAGATGTATACTTACTTTCTCTTGTCAGTCTTTTTAGAAAGGTCACATACAGCACTTTGTTCCACACGCATTTTTCTACAAAGGTTACCCAGTCTATCTTGTTCCAAAGACGGATCAGCCACAGTTGTCATTTTTAACTGATGTTTGTCTATTTCTAAAAAAAAATAAAATAAAAAGTTAGAAAATATTTTTCTTCATAACAAATCTGCATTTTGCTTGCTGCAGAGTCTAAGATCATCTTGCTTTAACAACTGTATTCTCATCTATCCACAGTGGGAAAACAGTGTAGTTTTCCTTCCTCTTTGTATCTACATTTCACCAGTTAGTAGCTCTGTTATTCATTTGACCTTAGTTTGTAGGTATGCAAACCAGAAAAAAAGTAACTACGGGGTTTTAAGAACAGAGAAATAACTTCTATAAAAAGAACAAGCAAGTGAACCAACTTGTTAGATTATTTTTTACATTAAATAAAAAACAACAACAAACTTTCTAGATGAATATCACAGGAATAATACTGACCTGGAGAGGAGGTAGTAGGCAAGATCTAATTTAGGATTCAGGATACAGTAATGGGATCATTTAAGTGCAGATATTATTAGTCATCCTTCTGTCTCATCATCCAATATTCCAAAAAGGGAATATTTCCACAGATATCCATTTCATCACTACCTGCAAAAAAAGATTAGCTGAAGATCATTGTGCTATTAAAGATCACAAAGAGACATGATTGTTTTTCTGCCTTGAAAAAGAATATTTTTTTCCCTCCTCCTATAATTATTATCATCATCTCTTAATTAATCCAATAGAATAAGTGGCTTAATTAGTTAACTCTTCCATTTATTTAATCTATTTGCCAAGTAATATTTTTCATTTAAACTGAAAAGTTTAAATGAAAGTTTAAATGAAAAAAAATTTAAACTAAAAAATTTAAATTTAAGACTGTAAGCCCTAAAGTATAGTCATGTCTGTATGATTAATGTGTATAATGCAAATTCAAGTATGTACTGAAACTTATAGGTAATATTTATAATATATATATTTCCTAATTATAATTCTGATCTATTTCCTGTCTGTGTGAAGAGCATTAATAAAAAAAGGGTTTAGATTTCTTTGTTTGAACGAACATTCAGTTACAATTCTGGTTTATTTGTTCAGACTGCTGACATTTCCATGGTCTTTTATTAAAGACCTGATTAACCTGCAGAAAGAGCATGATGTTTGTACAAAGCTTATGTTCTCTAAACCCACTTCACACCCACATATTGCCTTCTGTTAAGGGAACATCGGTAATGTCAGCATCCTGTATCATATGACAACACCTTCAGAGGACTGACCCCATTGTCAATAGAGCATGATTTCTAACACCAAGAACCAGAATATGAGTAACAGAGTGTGTTTGCCTTAACCTTTGGTCAGCTTCTATGCTGCTGGTATAGTGCAGCATATTGTTTGGAGCGCACACAAAATCTTTTGACCATGCAGCCCTGCTAAGACCTTTACCCACACTGCCATCCGCTGTGCTGGCATCCAGTTGCTGTAACAATCAGCTTTCTCACAGTAGGTTTGCTACTTCTAGACAAATTACAATAACTGAAGCCGTCTGCACGTGACTTTCTGAGATGTGCTGGGGATAGCATTCTCCTTTCTGAGCTAATCACTGTTTCCCTGTGTTAGGTGTCTTTCAAAGTGAAAGCACTGTCTGCAGAGACATGCAGAGAAAAAGAACACAACTACGAAAACTTACCCGGGACCATTTTAAAGTAAGCTGCCAGGAAGATCTTGCATCAAATCAAAAACCAACTAGTGTCTAAAATGGCTAATGAAATCAAATAATTTAAAAGCTCAGTACCCATTTCCTGTTACCTGGTGACTCAGACTATGACACTTAGAAACATGGCATCTAATCACCAGATCAGCAATTATTACTCTTATCTAAGCCAGGTAGGTGATCAACAGTTAACGATTCTAAATGCAAAGTGGATTATTAATATTATACAATACCATGAGGTCTACCCTTCAGATGCAGAATTGCTAACAGGCTATAAAATGCAAGACATTATCCTACCAAAGTCACAGTCAACTAATTTAACTTCACAAGATGAAGCTAAAGGGGGAAAAAAAAAAAAGTAATAGTAAGGAGATGGAACAAGGAAAAAAAGATTCAGAATTACATCATTACAAAGCCAAATGCAATTGCAAACCTGAACTGATTAAGATTACTCTAAACAACAATATCTCAATTTATCAATCTATTTTGCACAAGCGAAATAATCCCATATCTCATAATATAAGAAAAATAGTCAGGAGTTCCATTTTTCTGGGCTGGCAACATACGGTTTGCATTTCACTTGTGCATGATGTTTATATTATTTCTCCAACTCTGCATTTTCTAGGAAAATGAAGCTGACTACATACTTAACCCCAAGCAAAATTTGCAGATGTGAAAATATATGTATACACTTTATTTTCCTCTGTGCATCTTCTCTTAGTGTGGTCTTGAACATGGAAGACATCTAATATTCAGTAACTTAGCCAGGTATGCAAGGAAGGCATGGACTTGGATGTCTTGTGCAAGACTTTTCTGTGAATGCAACGTATTAGTAGAGAAAAAAATTATATCAAAATCTCCGTGAATCATAGAATCATTAAGGTGTGAAAAGACCTCCAAGATCATCTGGTCCAACCATCACCCACTAAATCTCTTTTATGATATGGGAGTACGAACACAAAATTCTGCTTGTATATACACACCTCTTTACGGTACACTGCAAATTCACGCATCAGTTAATTCCAACCCTGTTTTGTGACTCAAATTGCTGCTGTGCCTCTCACCTTTGCCAGATAGCTATGGGTTCCACCAAAGCCACGCAGCAAAGACTCCATATAACAGAAACATGAGACTTGGGGGGTGAGAAGGGAATTTCATGCAACTACTTACCAGGCATTTTCTGTCTCTCTGTATACTATGATTTCCCTCTTTAAGCTCCTGTCGATCCCTTTTATTTCCTATATGTCTGTTAGCACCTCAGCTCAACCTGCTTCCTGAGGTGTTAACAGTCCCAAGAGGCAGGAGACAGCATTTTCCAACCAGCAAGGTACTCTGAAAATATGAATCTTCACAGTGTTCCAAACATGAAGATTATACACATGGAAAATACCAGGGTAAGAGGAAAAGATTAGTCTACAAGGACCAGAAGGACAGCAACCTAAATGACGCAATTATTTAAGGATCAAGAAGTACAAGAGAACTTGGGACAACATTTTTAAAGGAACTATAAAAACGCTCAACTTCCAATGAATATGTACCCTTCAAGATATTTCAAAAGCCAGACTACATCTTTAAAAGTATAAAATAGCAAATTAAAAGCTAGTAGAAATTAAATTATTTTTTTTTAAGCATGACCCTTGAAAATGCTAGATGTAAGATTCATCAGAATCTTACATATACAATATTAATACAATATTGTATTAATGTTGTATAATATTAATATTGTATATGTATGTATATGTATAGTATAAATATTGTATATGTATGTACCTATGTATATGTATACAATATTAATACAATATATAAAAATTACAATATTAAACCACAGCTAAACTTGATCTTAGCCAAAAGGGCACTTGCCTGTATTCAGTTTTGAGTAACATCTATATCAGATTGGCACTCAAAGCCCATACAATGACCTTTTTAAAATTCATTTTTAACATTTGGTTTTATGGAAGTGAGAGAAAACTTCTGCCCAGATGCTGCCTTGTAACACAGAGGGGAAGAACATGGGAGGAAGCACCTCATGAGGCCATACTTGTTATTCAGAAGAAAACAGTGTCTATATTATTTGAAAGGCATAGAAATCTAGAAATCCCTTTATGATAAAAAAAAAAAAAAAGGCAAGTTATTTTCACACAATTTCCTTTAAAAAAAAAACAACAGTTGGATGTAAGCCAGGGCATCATGGTATGTCACACAGTTGTGAATTTAGAGATGGAAATGTATGAGTCCTCATAATTTGATGGAACTGATTACTGAAAAGTTTTTTTTGTTTTTATTAGGGAAAGAACATGTGCTCACGGTCCTGACTGGAACCTGGAATGTACAGAAATAGCAAAGCAGCTATCACTGATTTCTAGAATAGGGGAGGATATTTTGTGGCATTGTGAAAAGGCTTTTCTTGCCCAGCTGGTTTTAAACGATACCAAATACAAAATCCTTTGGACTTTAATCATCCTGGCAAAGGAAAGAAGTGTTGGAAGAGTTTAATACCTGATTCTTTATCTGGATGCTTTCTGTTCTAAAGATGCAGGAAAATAGCTGTTTCAATCTAGTAACTTTTCCATTTCTAAATTCTGCCTCTCACAGCAACAAAACAACAGCATTCTTCTGCTCGATCATGAAATGAGACTTTAAGAAATGCAATAGCAAACCTTGAAGGGTGAATATTAAAGCTATCTTTCCCTCTGTACAGCCAGAGTTGCAGTCAAACATGCATGAGTTCTGCTGACAGTGCCTTCATGCTGGCTCTGAGGGACAGCACGCAAAATAACCTAAGAAATATCTGTAGGCTTGTCATGTGCTAATATCCTTTTGATAATGCAAACTGTTAATCCTAACCCAGGTAAAGAGAAGAAAAGAAATTGGGTTCTTATCTTAAAGAGTCCACATTGGCCAGATGAACATTTCAAGGTCATCTGGTATTGCTATAAACAAAACAAACCTGTTGGCTCTATTATATTGCTGAAATCCCATCTGACTGACAGCATTTTCACCAAACACAAGCAATTTATTTTTGTTTTAAACTTTAATTAAGTATTATAGATTGAAGTGAAATTAATTAATAACTTTAAAGTACACTGACCCAGAGAGCCAATACCTCAATCAGGTGAAGCCTTGGGAAAGGAAATGCATGAAATAAAATGAAGCTGTTCAGTCCCCTCAATCTCACCCAGTAAATCAAAGAAAAGAATTTTTATATTAATTGGCAATGAGTCTATGTCTAGTCTGACTGCTGACACAGTTAGCCATAATAATAAAAAACATTTCTGTGGGAAGTGAAAATGCAGTTTGAATGTTAATAATGCCTTCATTTTCTGTCCTGATTGATTTGTTTGAATAGTATTCAAGCAGCAATGTCCCTGACTCAATTGCCTATCTCAGGAGAATCACAGAAATCAAGTAACTTATGGGTTGGTAATTTATACAAGTGTCTCTCTGTATATGGAGTTCCATTTCAGAGACAGTTCTGGAAAAACATACTGGTGATTACCTGAAAAATCACTGCAGAACAAGTTTCAAATTCTAAGCATTTTTCCATTGCACATTGCTTACTTTTCTCACAAATAGACATTGCTTAGCAAATACAATATGGAAGAAAAGGATCTTTGGTGCAATCTGGACAGTAAAATTACTTTTGTCCTCTAAAATTTAAAGTATTCAGACTATTTTTTAAAAAGAATTAAGAGAGCATGTTCTGACTGTCTTCCCCAAGCAAGCCCATAAAACACCAATTGAGTAATCATAAATTAGTTAAATCTCTCTCACATCAGGCTCAATTTGCTGATACATGCAAAAAGCCACTGCTAGTGAGCCAAGCCTCTGTGTGTTAGGTCTGTATTTTGTTATAAAACTTTGCACCACATATTTCAAGTATGTTTAAAATGTTTACATTTCC